GCTGCTTTCGTGACTGCTTCTGCACATCAACCTGCTGGACTAGGGTCTCTTCAAATTGGGAGAGGCCGTGATGCACCACCTGCATCTAGGCAGAGTGCTCAAATGTCGAGGTTTCCCATCTGTTGAGATCCATTTCCAAGGCGTTCAGATCCCACTTGCAGATACAGTATCCTTGTATCGCAGCTGTGAAATGCATTGTAGAGGATACAATATATTTAAGAGCGTAGGAAGGGAAAAATAGAGTAATTGAAGTTCAGTCAATTTGAAGGAGCCTCGTGTACAGTGGTTAAACTGCAGTACTGTACCCAAGACTCTGCTCACGACCTGTGCTCAGTCCTGACTGGCCCAGGTAGCCAGCTCAAGGCTGACTCAATCTTTCATATTTCCAAAGTTGGTAAATTGAATACCCAATTCAGTAGAGGGGGATACTATGTGTAGCTTCCATAATTATAAACTCCCAGAGAGTGCTTTAAGTGCTATGGGGTGTTATATAAGCAACACACATTGATTTTTTTTCTTTGTTTTACTTTTTTCTTTTCTTTTCTCTTTCTTTCTTTCTTCTTTGTTTTATCACAAAGGCTATGGCATAATAAAAATGTAGTATAATACAGTATAAATGGAATATAAAGGTGGTTTCAATTAAGGCTTAAAATACATTTTGCAAATTTACTCTCTCTAAGGACAAAGCATTAATGATTACAGCATACCATAAGCTTAACCATAAAATGGTGATTCAGTTACAAAGGTCCCTGAGTAAGGGTGCGGTTACACATCAAAATACTCCTGGGTTTGCATCGGGTTTAGCACACTGGAAATCAATTTTAGTTGATTTTAGTTGATGTACATTTTTTGGCCGGGAAACTTCGTTGTTGTTGTTGTTGTTGTTGTTGTTGTTGTTGTTGTTGTTGTTGTTGTTGTTGTTGTTGTTGTTGTTGTTGTTGTTGTTGTTCAGAAAACAAGTTTCTTTAAACACCTGCTAGAGTCTTGTTTATTTTAACCCACTTATGAATTATGAACTGTAACCCTAAAGCAATTAATCAAATGGCTTTGTTAGTCGCAGAATATGTAGCCTTCTGTTTTTATAAGTAGGATAATAAAACTTGCCATTTGGAATGTGACAAATTTTAACTGTATCTGAGAGTAGCATCTGAAATTTATCTCAATCGTATCTTCCGAGTAATTGTTCTAAACTGGACCTTGGTAGTATTGTGTGCGTTGCTGCAGACAAGGGATTGTGAAATGTTACACACGCAAGTCCTTGACTGATTTAGGGTCACAAGAACAAACTCTTTTGTTGTGTGGAATCCCTTTATACAGGCCTTGCAAAACAGCAAGAGGCAGCATATCCAATCCTGCCTCGGTGTAGGCTTTTCTGAAAATCAAAATTTTGCAGCAAGTTTCAATACAAAAGTTCTCCATGAACCAGATTTCATTTCACTGTAGTTAATATTCCAAGCCCCCAATTTGCTGCTCCACTCAGTATCTGAGGGAGCAGTTTTGTTTCAAATGTTTCACAAATGGAAGGAACCAAAGACTCTGCTTGAATTGCACAGAATCTGCCAAACACAGCGTTTTCACATTTCTGCTTAGAAAAGAGCTCAGTTACACTGGGGGGGGGGACAACTGTTTTTGGATTGAGTTTAGCATATTTGAAATCAATTTTTAAAAACCTGACTACAGGACATACAGGGAAGTGCAGATGTTTTTTCCCCAAGAAGTGTGTTTTTGTTGTTAGAAAGAGAGATATTATACTCAGCCACAAGAAGGTTGCTTATTTTAAATCATTTATGAAATTGATTTATTTTTGTCTTGGCATATCTGAATGCTTTTGGCAGTGTAGATTGTGTTTGTAAGGTTTGTCAAGTAATGGATGCTAGAATGAAGAGTTTCGGGCTATAGAAAAATCTTACAGTCCAATCTGAAAAGAGAGCCAGTAGAGAGAAAAGTTGGGTGGGGGAAAGCGGTTCCTCCTTGGCAAGCCTAGAAGCTTCCAGTCTTGTCAATTTCTCTAATCAGCTTCTCTTTGCTACTCCCTGGTGTGCCTTCCCTCTGCCAGCCCTCTCAGCCAGCTCCCCACCTCCTACTCCATCCCATATGTGTGTGTGTGTGAGATCTTTTTTAATTTTTTTCTGTCTTTCATACTGAACTAGCACTATCCCAGATAGCAATAAATAAAAAATTAAACATATTTAAAATAACACCACAGCAGCAGTAAACAGTGTCTGTAAGAGGCAAGCAGCAGGAGAGCAGACAGGTGCAGGACAAAGCCTCAAATGATTCTAAAGGCCCACGTAGCTCCCTCAACTAATATACAATACAGTTTAAAAATAGATTTAAAGTTTTCCCAAGAAGACACCTACACTGACCCAAAAACTATTGACTAGGACATAACTTTAAATCAGCTTCACCCCAACCACCTCCGAATCAGTCTCCTGATTCATTTTCATAGAGTAACTGTGCTCGAACTCAATATGGGTTGTCCAGGAACCTGACTGACAAAAAGCTCCCTGTTGGTACTTGAAGTAAATAACTGTGTTAATATCCTATGATCCATTATCCATCTATGGAGCTGGGACCTTCTGTTAAACACTATGATCTTGGTTTTCTCATTATTTACTCTGAGCAGATTCCTCTTTCAGCAGGTGCTGAATTGTTTCAGCTGTTGTCTAAGGGAAATTTGAATGTGAGATATTAGCACAGTATAATCTGCATGGAGCAGCATTGAAATAGCCTTTCCACATACTCTCAATGAGAACAACTAAATTAGTGGTTCCCAACCTTAGGTAACCAGATGTTCTTCAACTACATCTCCCAGAAATCCTGGCCAGCAGAGCTAGTGGTGAAGACTTCTGGGATTTTAGTCCAGGAATATCTGGGGACCTAAGATTAGGAATCATTATGCTAAATAATCCACCACATTCTTTATGTATAAATTGAAGAGCAACAGGGCTAAGATACAGCTTTGATCATATTAGACAATTGGCCTGAGATGCCAACTTTGACCTTTAAAGAATTATCAGTCTACAGACCTTTAATTCTTTCTAATCACTTGAGATTTATACCAAAATCTGTCAGCTTTTTCCTTAAATGATATCTTGGAATAGAATCAAAAGCCACATTAAGATAAATAAGATATAAAACTGTCCACATAGCTCTTTAGTTTATTTGTTTATGTTGTAATAGAAAAATGTGGCCCACAATAGACTGTCTCATTATAAAGCCAATTTGTTTGGGAGCTAATTAATTGTTTTCAGTTACCCATACCTCCAGTTTCTGGAGGAGGTGTCTTGCATAGAGCTTGCCTTTCTTATAAGCATGCACAACAAGTAAGGACGTCTATTTCCTAGGGATTCTTCCAAATACTGTATACCACAATGGTAAATAAGGTGCCTAAAATAGGTATCCACCAATTCTGGAAGGATCTGAGGCAATGAAATCCCCACCCCCACCCCCGTGAGGCTTTATTATGTTTGATTGCTGAAATTAGCAATTTTATTTTTGCTAACAATAACTGGTGGCCACCTTGTTAGAAACTTTGGGGAGAGGTATTTTCGCAGGTTGGGCCTCACCTACCACTCAGACTGCATCAAATAAATAATTTTAAAGAGTAATCCTCTCAACATCTAGGAGTTAAGATATCTAGGAGTTAAGATCATGGCTGATTCTCTCTTCTGCTGCTGCCAATAGCTGCCAGAATCTCACCATGTTCTTCTGAGTCAATGCCAAAGCAACTTCCTGATGTGATTCTTTTGTTGGGGCTAGTTGTTTCCTTTTAAGGAGTTGTTTATAAAAAGAGCAGAAAAAGATCTTGGTAGGATCAGTGCCCCCCCTTATATTGCCTTTTGGCACATATTAGTTGCTTTTTCATACTGTACTCTGGTATGCTTTATTACACCAGCTTATATTGGATTGTCTCCTTTCGTTTGCTGATCTTACATTCTCAACCAGAGAGAACTTTAGAGCATTAATTTATTCATTATGCAGTGCCAAAGTGATGCTAGGGTCTGGAGCTGCCAAGATCTTCCCCGCCAATTTGCACAACAGGTTGTTGTTCAGGATCTGTGGAATAATTGTTCCTTTGGTTTCAGAATCTCAAAAGGTGGGATACTGAGCTCTTCCTTGAAGTCATGAACCCTTGGTCACAGGCTTTCCCCTTTTCCCCAGAGGTAGTCATGGTTTCATCAGTAATGAACCAAAAGCACCCTGTGCATGACCAGCAGGATGTTCATTTTCATTGTTAATTTTAAAGTTCTAAAGTCAACACTGTGCTTGCATATAGAAACCCGGGTTGTGACTCTTTCTAAACGGCAACCAATTACCTGGTTTCCAAACTTTCCTTTAGTTGAATCTTTTGGCTCCCATAGCCCAGTTAAATATTTCACGGAGATGAACAGGTCCCTCTGTTCTAGTCAGTGCCATTCTTTCCCACTTGGTTCTGGCCATGTGCAGGATCTCAAAAACTTCCTTCCTGGCACACCTGCTAGGGACTAAGTCCCATTACATGCAGTGAAGCTTCCTAGTGGATACTCATCCACATGCACCACACACAGTGAAAAGTCAAGATATTCTACTGTCTGAGGTAGACCTACAAATGATGTTTCCTACTCATCCAAAGTACATAGCACCCAACGAAACACAAACCGAGTTCTTCTGCCACACAGGGCAGAAAACCCTGCAAGTGGCTGTTTCCATCCCTGGTAGTAAAAAAAAAAATACTATAATAACAAAATTAAATAGCAACTAAATAATGGCCTTTCATGATACCCCAAATTTGCTGCCTGAAGCAGCCGTCCCACTCTGCCTAAACATAGGACTGGCCCTGACTGTGCAACAGACACAATCTAACCTCCATGAACAGCTTGTCACAGAGACATTCAGCAGCTGGAGATAGTGAATAAGTCATAAATAAGTAAATCAATAAACTAGGATGCAAAGGTTGAACGACTGCACTAGCTCAACGTCATTTGCAACATTATTTCCTTATAGAACAGTAAAAGAGAGATTCCTGTTAGCATCCACCCAACAAAACTAGATGGCCTGCCTTCCTTAAATTTTGGATGTGTTTTCCAACAGCCAGATGGCTCTTTTAATTCGCTTTTGTACCTGTATGCTCCTCCTCTTGGTGTCAGTACTTCAAGCTCAGGGTCAACATGAAGGTAAGCGCATTTTCTGGATATGATCAAAGACTGTGATGTGGGTCTGGGCTTTAAAAAACCAACAACAAAGAGATGGAAATAGTTGTTAAAGTTAACATAAACATTGAATTTTTAAAAAGCCACAAGGACTCTCAAAACACAGGGCATACTTCCTAAAGCTTTAACACATTAAATTAAATGCACTATCAAGTAAGTGTACACAGGAGTGCAGCCTAAGTGCCCTGATTATTTCAAGCATAACTCGTTGCCAGGGGTAGAATCTACATGATTTTACTAGTATTCTAATAAAATAACTACTTTTAGCCGATCTTTGAAGGGTCAGATTAGCAGTACATGAAAGGCTTTAGGAACATAGATCAAATCTTCAGCAGCAGTACCGCCACCTTCATCAGATAACTTTCCAAATGTAGCTTTTTATAAATTTAAAGAACATAGATCAAATCTTCAGCAGCAGTACTGCCACCTTCACCTTCAGCCGCCTAGAGTGGTCTAATATGATCAGATAGGCGGGATAGAAATTAAATAAATAAATAAAATAAATAAATAAAGATAACTTTCAAAATGTAGCGTTTTATAAATTTAAGATTAAATAACAATTAATTTAGAATTAAATACTTAAATAACAATTGTGTTATATATCATGTTTGGATCAAGGAACCAAGTCTCTGTATTAATTATGAGTAATTTCACAATTAAATTGAATAGAATTGCAATGCATTCCAAAGGTTTTCTAGTCTAGCCTCTGCCAATGTAGGATTTGTCCCAAGTTATAAGAATGTTGTGTCAATGAAGGTGTTGGCTGAAATCCAGTAGTAAGATGCAACTAGCGGAAGCCCATTGAGTGAGGATTTTGTGAATCTTCCTCATCTCCAAGTGATGTTGATTCAGTGGGCTTAATCTAGCTGCAACATAGTGCTAAATGTTGAAACACCCTTAGATTTAAACATCAGGTCGGATAAAAATATTTTTATTTGAAATATTGTTTCATACACCTGCCTATTGCTTTTGTACCACTGGAGTTGCTTGTAGGAAAAATGAAATATGCAAATATCTCTTTGAAGTACAAAGGGTCATGAAGAAATGTGTTTGTTTGTTAGTTTGTTTGTATTCACTGCCTATCTAACCAATCACTACTCTGGGCAGTGTACAAGAAAAATGATAAAACCTAAATTATATTATTAATATAAACATTAGACAAATAAAAAAAGAAAAGACAGGTGGCAGTAAACATTACAAATAACAAATTATAATATTCTCCTCCTCCTTTGTCTACTGTCCCAGCTACTTGGGAGAACCTTCCCCAAAACTTCTGTGGAACAGCTCAGTTTTTAAGAGCTTTTTGAATGTGAGAAGGGAAGCTGGCTGCTATACCCCCTGCAGGAAAGTATGCCACAAAGAAGACCCCAATGCTGAGAAAGCCCAGTTTTTGGTTGTCAATTTCTGTGCAACACCTCTGGTTGTCCCATATAGCTCTATCATCTAAGGCAGAAAATCCACAGCACAATGGAAACACTTCCAGGTGTACACTTTTTAAAGCCCTAAAATAAAATAGAAACTTTGATACAAAAACATAAGATTGTGAAACTGATTCATCCTTCCAGTGCCCCCTCTGCACAATATGTTTGATTTTTTAGTACCTAAACCAAGATGATAAGGGCCTAAATCATTCTCCAGGTGAATGGTGGCTACTCCACCCTTTAGCTCCCATTCTCACCTTCTACATTAAACTTTTGAATCTCATCCGCTTCCTTAGTTGAACCAAATAGTCCATAGAGGTCACAGTATACTACATGAACCTTCCTATGACACCTTTGTCAAAGTACCAAACTAGAGCACGAAGCACCTAAGTTTATGGTGTCAGATACGAAGGCTTCTCTTCAGTGCTTTTGCAGACAAAATATATTGTCTCTTGTTTCTTTAGACTGTTCTGTGGTGAATAACAACCCTAGTATAAAGGAAAACAATGATCCTGGAGTTGTGGTTACCAACATTACAACAGCTGCTGGTATTACAGTGACAATTGACCCAACAATGGACTACAAATGGTTTGAGATAAATGGCTCACAACTTATCCTGAAAGATTCAGTGGATTATGAGGTAAACATCTAAACAAATATATATATACTGTAATTACGGGAGCTGTAGTCTAAAAAAAGGGAACTTTTCTAAAAGTTGATGGACTGCACCTTACAGGGCTTCCAGAAATATCAGGTTCCCTTTTCCCTTTTCACAAACTTCTGAATGTTTAAGCAGGTTCTTATTTAGGTGCTGCCCTGAGGAATGGAAAAGTTGGGAAAAGCAAGAGGACAGGAGCAGGAGGAACAGGATAGATTTTCAGGAACTTTGGCTTGTTATACTTACTAAACTTGTTGAGTTCATGGTTGCTGTGAACCTTGAATTTCCAGAAAAAAGTTTCAGATAATGGCAAGGAAATATTGTCCTTTTGGAAGAACTAGATCTACATGTATTTGTCTTGGGAGCACGACATGTTCCTTCAAACTGCTTACTCAAATATATGTCCCACTAATGTGAATGCATTTTGTTCCTCAGCACATGTGCACAAGAGCCTGATTGATTAGGAAACAGTAATTGACAGTTACACTCTTAGATTATAGTTCCCAGAATCCTCCAGCCAATATGGTCAGCAACTATTCTGACTGAGGAATTCTGGATAGCACAGCTCAAAAAGTAAAAAATTCTGAGTTTTGCTGCAAATTTTATTACACTACCATATAGTCTAAAGCCTTGAAACAAAATTACATCTAGTGGGAGTGGAGATTTAAGGATTTATACCGAGCAGATGGTGAAGTACAGTAAATTATGCAGAGTGCCACACTGAATTGTCACTTGCTTTGATGTTCATACACATAAAGTTAAATATGGGAAAGAATGTGAAGCCAAGACATTTTCTGTGTACTCTTTTTTTTTGTTATTGTTGAAAACTGATGGCAAAAAACAACAGCCATCTCTTGAGATTATCACCAGAAACCCATGAGCCTGGCAAAATGTCATTTCATCTTTATTTGTACACATCAGGAATACACAAGGCTGTTTTACATATGGTCTCCTCTCCCTGTTTTACTCCAAAAACAACTGTGTAAGATGGTTTGGCTGAGATGTACAGATCAGGCCAAGGACGTCACGTGAAATATGCAGCTCAGCAAAGATTTCAACTTGGGTCTCCCTGTTCCAAGTCTGACATGACATATTACATTATACTGTCTTTCTCAGATTATTGATTACTGCATGAATGATACAAAGGTTGAAACATTTTGGTAGAAAGATGATGCAACAATTAGCATGTGCAATTTGTATAAAATATACATTTGCATAGCATGTGAATAATACAATCTTGTTTTCAAAAAACATAAATTAGGATGCTGGGTTTCGAAAACTAGAATATGGCAGCTCTAAACTGCAGTCCAACAAACATTTATCTGAAAGTAAGTTCTATCAGGTTTCTTAGGAGGAAACATATGCTTAAAATTCAATTAACCACACAATAGTTCATTAAATATTGTACTCCAAATTGATTGTGTCCAGTTCTAGCACATGTAAAAGAAGAAAGAAAATACACAGTGAAGAGTCCTTTCATCTGTTCCATATGGGGTGGGGGGAGTTTTGTGACACCTGTGGAAGAAGAAAGATGCACTGTCCTCTCACTTATTTATAGTTGTTCACCCCATGCAGCAAACAAGCATCATGCCCAAACAAGGCAAAATACAATGCAGTTTTAAATCTCAATTGGCTTCTGCGGAGAAAAATGTTTGTGTTTGTGTAATCAAATCAAACCTTGGCAATTTTCAGTTGGAGACAGGATGCATTGGATGCTTGTGCAAAGTGTCCATAAGGCAACACAGCACTTAATTATATATTACTGGGCCTGGAACAGTAAGTTAGCAGCCAATTTCGGTAACAGATGTGTATTCATAAAATGAGTAAAAACCCACTGCAGTGCAAATGCTTCAAAGCACCTTGTGCATAAGAAATGCATCTGTGCCACAAAAACATGCTTTAATTGGAAACCTTTTTTTTCCAATGCAGAATACAACTGTACTTATTGTGCAACTGAATTGCTGGAGTGTAGATATGGGAACGACCGTGAGTAACATCTCTGATCTTCCTTCATATTGTTGCGCCATCCTAATGGGAGAAATGTGTTTGCAGGGTCACTGTATGACTGTTGAAAGTGATTCTCTTGGTCAGTGGTTGTCTGGTGGTACCTCTAGGTTATGTCAAGAACACTGGATCTCTCTTCACCCATTAAAGTTTCTTGTTTTTGTTCTCCAGGCATTGGGCCTGGAAAAATTTATGTATCACAACAGAAGTAAAATGGATATTCAAAGTTGCCATTCCGAATCTGCATTCATGTCTTGTAGCAGAGCTACTTGCCTTTTGAAAAGCTTTCAATTATTTATTTATTTTTGCTCCAATCCAGGCTGAGGTATTATTGCAAAGATGGGAAACACTGCAGTCTTCCTGCCAGGGGCAGCTGGTGACCAATTCTATGAGTGCAGTGAATCCACTCCAGGTTATAGTCTTTGCTGTTTGAAGAGTTCAGCACCTTGGATATCTTCTGTAAATGCAGACTAAAAACTGGACTGGATTCATAGTTTCCCTAGGATTGGATTCAGCAGCTGCTCTAGCTTCCAGATGTCACAGGACTGTAGTTCCCAGCATCCTTCACCACTGACTATGCTTCCTAGGGATGATGGAAGCTGTAGTTCAACAACAACCCAATGCCCACTTTTTTGCGAACTCCTCCACTACAGAAACCAGAAAAGTGGTCTATGGAGGGAGGGGATATCACAGAATTAATGTAGACCACAGATATGAATTCTTCCTCCAGATTGGCAGAAAACACAGAGGTCAGATAGGACTACTTTGAAAAATGATGCACTCAAATAAGTTAGCCCTGTAGCACCCATCTGTTGTATTTCTGTTATGTTGAGATGCAGGTGGTCGAAAATTCTCTTGATAGCAAGTGAAATGTGCTAGGAGTCGCCCTGGCCATGAAATCACAGCGCTTACTGTCTGGAATCAGAGATGAAAACTGAAGTTGCAGCTGTTTCATCCTACTGTTAGAAATAGAACCATTTCCTTTTTGCTACACTGCTGTTCAAGTGTGATTCACTGCATAAAGACAACATTTGAAGAAGGAATGTTCACTGAGGATTAAAGCAGACATTACCAGAAGCCTGACAGTAGAAGCAGAGAGCTTAAATTTGTTCGTTTCCTTAGCAGTTTTTGTTTCCTAACATGGTGTTTCTGAGAGCCACAAGTTGCAAATGTTCAGATGAATAAATTTATTCTAATCAGGGTTAGAATTTACGACAAATCTGCCTTTACTAAACCACCTCTTCCCATAAGCAGCACTTTGTACAATTAATACTCAGAACTAAAGATCGGCAAGAATCGCAGGTTTGGCGGTTCATGCCAGTTTGGTCATTGGCCCAACAGGTGTTCCGTAGTTCCGATGTGGTTCTGAGCCCCACCTCCTCTGGTAGATGCCCACTCAGAGGCAGCACTCAGAGGAGGGGGAGGAGGGAAGCCAGGGCACTGCCTCTGAAGGGTGTCCCCCAGAGGAGGTGGGGCTCAGAACCACGCTGGAATCATAGAACACCTGTTCGTGCCCATCTCTACTCAGGAGGTAGGAAAAATGTTTTGCTCACTATTCAGCAATCTTCAGAAGTTAAAGGAAGAAACGAAAATTAAAAGTGGCAAGAGATGGATTTCTCAGCCCCATGGGGCGGGAGAAACCCATACTATGCAAAAAATGGTCACATGGATAGAGGGACCAAAGGGATCCAATTATCGAGGTGGGGCTTTGCCAACTTGCCCGGATTAACATTTAAAGGGGCACTCTCCCATAGTCCTCCATCGGCCATGCTGAATTGGCAACCCACCTGCCCGCCCTATTTTCTAGTGTGAGATTAGCTGGTCACCCTGTTGGGGGCTGGATAGGAATTTTTGACCCGTCACCCAATTGGGGGCAGGGATTTTTCGCCTATCCCACACTGGACTAGGAGCGCCAGCCAAGCGAAGATGGTAACATTTGGTCACACGGGGCAGGTAGTGTGGATTCAAAGGTACTGGATATTGGTTTCTTGGGTAGGGGCAATGAATTCCAGCGCATTTGGACCAGTAGCACACCCTGGCAGGCAACCGCGGTGCTGGGGGGTGAAGATGCACTGGGGATGCTCCCAGACCCCGGAAGGTACACAGAGAAGGAAGGGGTCCGGGGAAATTCAGAGGCAGTCAGTTATTCCATGTTGATAACGAAGGGAATAACTGAGGCCTGAGCCCAGCAACTGGACAAGAGCCAACCTAATACCCAGCAAGGAATTTAAATCCAGGCAGTCAGTTATTCCATGTTGATAACGAAGGGAATAACTGAGGCCTGAGCCCAGCAACTGGACAAGAGCCAACCTAATACCCAGCAAGGAATTTGAATCCGCACTACAGCAGGACCCCCCTTTTCCCCCAGAAGATTGGCATGTTCATGAAAATGGAATGGATATTAATAAAGTGGGGCCCATGTTTAACCCATGTACCCGGTCTCGTGTGGTTATTCCGGGATAAGTGGGCAAGGCTTTATCTTCATCCTTTCCTAGGGATATCTTGGAAGAAGAGAGCTGACAACCAAAAACAGAAAACAGGTGTAGCAAGAGGGAGCAAGAGGAGGGGTTTATTTTAGCCTAGGGAAGATGAAACCATCTAACTGATCAGTAATGCAAACAAATAAACATGCAGATTAGTTTGGGGAAGGGCTGCATGACCATGTGTTAGATGTGCATGCAAGATTGCTAATTCGCCAACAGCAAATTAGCTTGCTTTTGCTTGGTGATTGGTCACTGGGATATATAAGCATGGGTCTCATTTGCACAGAGACATTGGATAGAGATGGTGCCCTCCTTTGAAAGATAGTGTCTTTGGGGAGAAAACATTGTATCATTGTCTCATAACAAAAGTAACAACTCATCTAGTTTGGTCCAAACTAGGTACAGTACTTGTTTCCAGACCAAGCAGATACTTAAGGCTAAACTGGTTATGAACATATGCTAGCAGGAGCTATTGTGAGTGGCAGGTATGCAGAAGGAGAAGTACCCAATAAGGACCAATGGTGGAGGTTTACCTTTTGGCCTAGTATTGTTCCGGCTCTCCCCTAAAGATGCAACATTGGCTGCTCTTTAAAGAACCCTTGCAGACAAAGGAAAACTTTTTGACATGCCTATTTGGCCATTGCTTTACAACTGCTTGCCATCTCAACTCGGATTTCATGGCCAGTTTGGAATGCAACAGATCCCATGTTTCAAAGTTGTTATATATATATATAACAAGATATATATATCTTCTTGAAGTTCTATTGTGTTTTGGATTGGCAGCATTTGAATCAACAGGAAACTGCTAACTCTGCTCTGTTTTTCCAGGTAAATAATCTGATTGTTGTGTTGACAATTGAAAATGTGAATGATAACGTTCCTGTCTTTAAGGAAACAAACATTACTGTCCATATTAGTGAGGTAAACAATTCTATTAATATATAATGTCAATTCAAGGTAATGAACTGTTGTTGTTATGTGTAGGGAAGTCACATCCAGCTTATGGCAACTCTAACCACCACCATCATCATCTTAGATCTAAAGAGCTGCTTTTCAAGATATGTGAGATATTTAAAGAGTGGTTTTACCACTGGGACCTCAGTTAGTTTTCATGGCTGAGCAGGGATTTAAATCCAGGTCTTAGTCTGTCACTTTATCCACCACAGTGCATTGGCTCATATTCTCAAGAGGAGGAAAATCTTGTATAGGCAGCAATTAGATGGATGCATGATAGGCTTCACCATCCTGGCAACCTCAAGATGTGTTCAAACCCAACACCCATCTCCCCTAGCCAGGGATAAGCTACAAGTTGTCAAAGCCTGTGATACTTAAATCTAAAGATAGCACAACCTTGAGAAAGCACACTTATGTCCAACAACAATGGCACACATACATCAGAAAGTCAAAATTCTATGTATTGAGTGAGTAAGTGAGTAAGGAAGGAAGGATATATATTCACATTTCTTTTTCCACTTGCTGCTTTCCTACTAGAGACTGAACATCATCATGCCTGTTCATATTGATGAGCTCCTAAAGCCATTACATACATTTCTAAAAATTCATACAAACTGCCAATACATGTATATCAAGAGTAAGCAAAGTGCACCCTTTGGGCCATGTGTAATTTCTGACGGCTGTTTATGCTGTCTGCAAGTATCCCCCATCCCTCTCTGTTTCGGGGGGGCGCGGAGGAGAGACAAATTATTGCTCTGGGAAGACTCCTCTCATGACAATAATATTTTAAGGGTCACAGGACCCTTCCCAACATTTTATCATTAAATAAATATTTTCTTTTTCAAAACTGGAAGTGAACCTCTAGCCACTTCTGGCTTCATTCTTTCTATCTTGGGGCACATGAGGCAGTTTGTGTCCTACTCCCAAACATTGTGAGAGCAGGAAGTTCTTCCCCACTTCCTCCCTGACCTTCTGACATGATCTGCCCTGATCCATATTCACATTGTCATCGCTCTCTGCATATATACAACCTAGCTTTATTTGCTCTTTTTACTAGAAATGTTTGTGCTGGAATCTGAGTTACGATACTATATTTTAATTTTGTATTTGATTGTTTTATGTTGTGAGTCCCTCACCTGAGATCAATTTTATCAGGAAACCTATCTCAGTGCTGTAAACACATAAATAAATCACAGCGACAGTCAGATATTGGATCAATGCAAATTAACAGAGTCATCTAGAAAAGGTCTATATAAAATGTCAAATGCATTTCTACTCCCATGTCCTCCCCTATAATTAGTTACAACACACTGCAGATCTTTCAAAACACCTCAGACTGTTGGTAATGTTAGAAGATCATTCAAACAATTGGAACAGCTGGTCTTCTCTCAAGGAAATATTTCAAATCTCTCTGCATATTTGAATGGGTTTATTTACTTTTTGAAGCAATATTTCTGAAGTAATAGCTTCTCGAATCCATGTAGGAGTAAGTCCACTGAAAATAATGAGACCTATTTCAGTGTCAAAAATATAACAAAGAACTTCGTCTCTCCATAGGTTGTTGCTTATAAATTAAATTTTATTTGTACAATCAACAGATCAGATGTGTTTCTTATAAATATATGTTTATTTGAAGTATTTATATCTTAACTTTCTACTAAAGGCGAGCTTACATCATTAAAAAACAATATTAAAAGTTAAAAACAATACATTATTACAATATTTTAAAAGAATTAAACAATTATATTGAAAAAAGTAAATAAAAACAGTAGTAAAAACATAATTAAATGCAACACATTTGAAAGCAGCAAGGCACAAATCCTGGAAAGCCTGCCTGAAAAGAAAGGTCTTCGTCTGCCTGCGAAAGGGCAGCAAAGAAGGGTCCAGCCTGGCCTCCTGTGGGATGGAGTTCCAAAGACTGGGAGCAGCAACAAAGAAGGCCCTCTCCTGTATCCCCAACAAATATTATCTCCTTTGCTAGTATAATCTTATTTCTGATGATGTCCAGAGTTTTATGAATGGACCTTCATTTGCAGAGTGGAGCTTCTGGTCACACAATGGGATTTCCTCTCCCTCTTCTACCCACAAACCCTCAAATCTACCCCAAAGGGTCCCCTACAGAGTCCACAAGAAATGGGGTGGAATCCATTTCTAAAATATACATATTAATTGCTCTACTCCATCTCTGAAATGTACATGAAATTTGTTGCTGCTTTTTAAAATGCCTTTTGTGAGATGTTTGATTCTTCTGTGATAATAATCACATGTGCACATGTATATGAATTCATTTGAACTACATGAAACACACAAAAATGAAAAATTGCCTTTCTGCCATCCCTACCTCACCCTAGGATACAAAAGTGAACACAGTTGTCGTGCCCCAAGCTAATGTTACTGCCACTGATGCTGATGGAGACATCATATTTTATAATCTTACTGGAAATACTACGGTCAGTATCATGTTTTGATTGGAAAGGGGTGTAATTCAATTGGTAAATAAAATACAAAGAGGATATTAAAAGTTCTTTGCTCCTTTAAAGCAATAAAAGGAATAGCAATAAAAGGAGGACAAACTGTTGACATTTTCTTTTGTGTATGTAAACTATTACGATTAATATCACTTTCTCCCCCCCTTTGAATTAATCCTCTTAATGCTGACAACTAGGGGCCACTTAATGTCATTCATTCTGCGTGGTATTTTTTCCTGCATGCTGGCTGGGTGATCTGGGGAGCTCTCATCCAAAAAGTCACTTTAAAAAAATCTGTCACATATGTTGTTATCATTCATTTTGTTCGTCCCTCTTCCCTGCCACTCAGAAAAGAAACTAAGTTGGACCAGTATCTGTCAGTACCTTCTAAGGAGCAAAAGAACATTCCGTTTTATAAGTGGGATGGAAGCCAGAGACCTCAGACATTTCATAACCTAGTCTGATCAAACCAAGTGCTTAACACAGCTCTTAAAAGGTTGTACTGTGTTTTAGACTGTCTCTCTCTTGATGGTTTCCAGGAACTGGAATATTTCAATATACAAGGAATTAATAACCCACAAATTGTCTTGTACAAAGCGCTGGATTATGAAACAATTAATTTCATGGAGTTTATCTTATATGCCATGGTAAGTTTTATTATAACCAAAACATTTGTTTTATTGTGACCAAAAACACCCTATTGTATATGCCCGTGCCTTTTTTATCATTTGACAGAATAAACGCTTTACTGTCTATGTGCAGGGCTTAAGCTAAGACTGGCAGTCCTGGCCACCATGAGATTCAAGAGGCCTGGGTGGGGTGTGAGAGCTCTGGTTCCTACATGGAGCCGTATTACCTGCAAGAGATCCCCTCATTCATTTCAGGGGCAAACCTTTATCCACTTGTATGGATAAATGGGCTTGTAGAGCTGCCCCACGCAATGAAATTTATAGGGAGGGTCAGAAGAGAGGACAATGTGCCTGCATTAGAGGATGCAAGCGTTTCTGGATCAGCCACATTGACTTTCATGAAAGATGGCTTCTATTTAGATCTGAGATGGGGAGCATGTTGTTCTTCATGTACTATTGACAGCAATTCCCATAATTCTTAGCCAGCATAATTAATAGTAAGGGGGAAAGGGCTGACCCTAGCAACAATCGGAGTCAGATGTTCCTCGTTTAGATGGTATACAGTAATGCAGCTATTTGGATTTAGAACATCTGATAGTGATGATTTATGCTATTGAACTACGCAAGAGTAGTAGTAGGGATTATTTTCCGTTGCAGTTTTATCTAATGAGTTCAGCCTGCTGTACTTGTTGCCGTTTGTTTTTCTTTTGCATAGGATGGGAATAGTAGTGCAACGGCTTTACACACAGCCACTGCAGAAATAACTATACACATCCTACAAGCTGATCGCAGGCCTCCTTGGTTTCAGCCGTGCACTCTCACCGTTGGCCACATAGTGTGTATCAACCAGGGCTACACTGGCAAGGTCAACATCTCGGAGAGAATGGTATGCACAAAGGGCTCTCTGCTCTCTTCACCCCACAGTGTCTTCCTTAATGTCAAGAGAAAGAGGTGTATTAATCTGAGTGCTATGGCATCTGAAAGACAAAGGGCTCAGTTACATGTGGAAAAAACACACGTGGTTTTGAATAGGGTTTTGCAAGTTTGAAATCAATTTAAAAATGCTAATTACATAATACACAGAAAAGCATAGATTCTCTTCACCCATGAAGTGTGTTTTGGGGTTGGAAAGCAAAGTATTTTATTCAGCCATGAGAGGGACACACACAGAGAAGGAGACAGAGGGTAGAGAAGGAGAAGGAGAGGGAGTGATGAAACTGTATGCCCGGGGCTGGTGAAAGAGGAGGCACAGCAGCGAGTGACAAGGAGAAATTTACATTGGTGTCATTACCATTTGGTGACTCAGAACTATTTACATGTTGTTGTGGTGGTAAATTACATTTTGTCCAGGGAAGACTGTGATGACTCACCTTTTGTGACAAATATGTTGTAATCCTTCCCCCAATTTTGATGTGTAATAAAGCTTAATAACTTCTTAGATAAAATCCACCATACCCATTGAATTATGCGCTCTGCTTGCATACCAGATATTTCCCCAATTACTTAAGGGAGAAGCGACCCTTTTATGGCTTTATTTACTGAGTCACCAAAATAGTTCTTGGGAGGGAAATGCATATCCCACAAACTGAAATCTTCCCATTGATTGGATAAAAAGAGTTTTCCTTCCTCTGTATTGAAGTAAGGAAGGGAGGCAGTAGCAGCAGTTTTTCTAGTGAATAAGCAATCTCTTCCCTTCACCAAGAGTGGGCTGAGAGGAAAACGATTACAAAGGGTATGGAAAAGTTTCCATACATATCCTTATGCACAAGCTGCAGTTTAAACTGATGGGTGGGTGGGTGCGCGTGTGCGCGCCTCATGGTTGCTGGCTTTTCCCTCACTTGACCCCTCAGGCCCCATTAAAATATATCTTTCCTTCCCATATTTGGGTCCTCATCTTGAGAAAACCCCCACAGATAACCCTCTTATTCTTAGCAGGACAGCTGATATAGTGTTTTCAGCTTCTATCTATGCCAGAACCAACTAATTTGAGACTTAAAGCCAAACCAACGAAATTGCAGAGAGTGGCAATAGCAAGAGAGCTTGTATCATTTCCAAATACTTTGGGTGCTCAGGGAGTCTAGAAACAGACTGGAGCTAGTAATATTTTTGAGGCAGATATACCCATGAGCAATGTACCTTTTCATAATAATCCTTTTAAATATAGGAAATGGCACTGACATGAAAAGGTACTTCCCAACACTGGAGGCATTCAAGACAAAAGACAGCCATCAGTCAGATCAGTTTTGATTTGGATTCCTCCATTGAGCAGGGGATTGGACTCGATAGCCTCACAGGCCCCTTCCAACTCTATTATTCTGTGATTCCCTAAATCATGAAATGAGGGCATATCAAGGCTAAGACATTGCAATCACAAGAGCTGCTTCCACCTCACTGACTTGTTCACCAGGAGACCAACCTGAGATTGTTTACTTGAGGAAGCCAGTACGTGCCATATCACTATCATTTATTATACTACATCTTCAAAGAGCCATCATTCCCAGAATAGCCATAGTAAATTCATCCACTTCTTCTTCTTCTTCTTGCATCAATGGCTGTAATTTTACTTGCTTTGTATAAAATTTTAATTGCCCCCAATAGACGCTTCATTTGAGGGCCAAAATTTGCAACATGGGAAAATACCCCAAATGACCAAGTAAGTGCCTTAGAAGCATCGCAGATTTATGAAAGTTGTGTGCCTTGTTATTGTAGACTGAACCTGTGATCTTGAAGCCAGGACCTCTCTATGCTATTGATGGAGACAGAGATCTGAATGCAACAATAGTCTACGATATTGTTGATGGTGAGTGGAATTTATAATTGGAATATAACTGTCAAGCATCTAGTGAGTCTCTGTTTCAATGTTCAGTCACAAAACTGATTTGCAAGATACAGAAGGTAAGAAAAGCTTAGGAAGCACCACTTCTTGTAATGTGATAACTGTATAGACTAGTTTGATCCTGATTATATCCTTTTGCATAGTTTTAGAAGAGCTGTTTCCCAAGAGGTGGCAGATTTTGGTTTGTCCTAATATCTGATTTTCATCAATTATGTATTTTGCATTTAGTTTGCTTTATGATTGGTCATTGGAAGGTAAGCACAGACATAATTTGCATGCATGATAGAATGTCTAAGGTCATGTCATTGTAAGCTAGGAAATTACTTAATGGAAGAAATGTGCATTGCCCTTAATGATTGATATATATAAAGATAACATCTACAGGTGTTGCTACTTAGAACGGTTTGTCCTTCTCCTTTAAGAGCTGTCACATACTTTTCTGGCCCAGCAGTAGGGCATACCTTCTTTTTGGCAGGCTTGTTATTTAGGAGATAGCAGCTTCCTGCATCTGCAGATTCTGAGAGAGAATTTGAGAGAGAAAAAAGGGAAGGGCACTGACAGAGGGAAAGAGAAACAATAAAAATATATATCTTTCCTCCACATATGCTCAGGAGAAGCACTTAAATGACAATTGGGGTCTTTTTCTGTTTGGATGGGAGCAGCACGCCAAATGGCATATTGATCCTCTCCCTGACCCAACAGACCCTTTATAGCCTGATCCACTGCACACCCAAACAACCAGTCTGTACAGGCCCTAAATCCAATGAATCAGTTTCTGATTCAAATCCCATTGCTTAGTGTAATAAGTCACAACGAGGTAAGGCCTATTGAATCAATAGAACTTATAGAGGAGTTCGATGATGCAGCTATTGTTGATGCAGCTGTTGTTGCCCATTCTGCTGAAAAGCTCCAACAACTTATGAATCATTTTAGTAAGGTCTGCCAAGATTTTGGATTAACAGTCAGCCTGAAGAAAGCACAAGTCATGGGCCAGGGCATGGACTCACCTCCCTCTATTACCCTCTCCATGCAAGAATTGGAGGTTGTTGATGATTTCGTCTACCTTGGCTCAATGATCTCCAACATTCTCTCCCTAGATGTCGAGCTGGAAAGATGCATTGGCAAAGCAGCTACCATGTTCTCTAGACTCACAAAGAGAATATGGCTTAATAAGAAGCTGATGACATATACTAAGATCTAGGACTATAGAGCCTGTGTCCTGAGTGCACTCCTGTACTGCAGTGAGTCCTGGGCCCTTTGTGCGTGGCAGGAGAGGAAGCTGAACACGTTCCATATGTGTTGTCTGCGATGCATTTTTGGTATCACCTGGCAGGACAAAGTTCCAAATAGAGTAGTCTTAGAATGAGCTGGAATTTTTAGCATGTATACATTACTGAAACAGCGACGTCTACATTGGCTCGGGCCTGTCATGAGAATGGCTGATGGTCGGATTCCAAAAAATCTCCTGTATGGAGAATTAGTGCAGGGAAAGCGACCCAGATGGAGACCACAGCTGCGATACAAGGATATCTGCAAGCGGGATCTGAAGGCCTTAGAAATGGACCTCAACAGATGGGAAACTTTGACATCTGAGTGTTCAGCCTGGAGGCAGGCGATGCCTCTCCCATTTTGAAGAGAGCCTTGTCCAGCAGGCCGAGGCAAAGAGGCAGTCCCCAAACCAGCAGAATCAGAGATCTGGACAGGGGACAGGCTGTATTTGTCTTCAGAGTGGAAGGGATTGTCACTTTTGAATTGGCCTTCTCAGCCACACTAGATGCTGTTCCAGGTCCTCTATTCAGAGCATGTTACCATAGTCTCTTGAGACTGAAGGATGCCTATAGCTAATAGCTATAGAGGAGTTGATCTATCAGTGGGGATTTCACTGATTCAATGGGTCTACACTAGTTGCAATTTACTATGCTAGGCAACAAGCTTTCAGCCGCTGCTAAAGCAACAGTCTGTAATCCTACTGATCCAGTGGTCTTCTTTGGTTGGGACTAGCAATTGCCTTTAGGTCTAGAAAGGACTTTAAAATCTAAAAACCAGTTCTTTCAAATGGGCTGGGAAATGCTTGCTCCTACCATTCTTTTGCTTTAGATTTTCACTTCCTTCAAGAGATTCTTGTCTGTAAAAGGACAGGCACACTTTCTTCACCACCCCAGTTGGTTTAGGATATTAGACATTAATCCCCATGTTTTGACTGACAGATTTGACAATATCCAATTTTCCTTTGTCTTCTTTTAAGTGAACATGTCTCTTGACCTAGTTTTTGTGTATGTTAAATGTTATCTTTCCATCAGTTGTGGACAGCCCCGGTGCCTAAGTATGAGGCTATTCATATTTTTACTCAGCAGGTTTCAGTCTGCAGTGTGCCTTCTACTCTGCTTCCAACCTGCTCTCGCACCAGATCCATGGAGTAACTCAGCCTAAGAAACAGTGATTTCACCTGATGATCTTCTTAATCATGCAGAGATATTTTGGGCTGGGGGTCCATGACAGCCTTGAATGTGGAATTGTGATTACTATGTCTGCTTTTGCTATACCTGTTCTCTTTGCCTGTCTTCCCATATCCCTCATCCTACCCAGTTTCCAACTCTCCAGACAGATCTCTTGATTTGGCAGTCAAAGACTTGTGGTTCAACAGTCTTGGTTGCAATGTTTCTTTGCAGCCCTGCCACCACCACCCCATTAGATCCCCATGAGAGTTAATGAGGAACAAATTAGGGCCTCTACCAGGCCTCACAACACCAGACACAATTCTATGTCCACTGCATTACATAGCACAACTCTCCCATCTTGCTCTTGCTTGTGGTAATCAGAAGTGTTATTTTTTCCTTGTTGCCTTTAGGAAATGAAAACAATACGTTCTTCATCAGCAAATATACCGGAAACATAACAATGAATAAGACTGTTGACATTCTGAAGACATTCACATTGTATGTTGTGGTAAGTCTCTTGATAAGTGTCAATATTCTACAAGTCAACTGTGGGTGTGGAGCACACATTTAGGGAGCAGAAAGGAACTCAGCCATGATAAGTGACACAGGAGACCTAGGACAAACAGGATGCAATATTTCACTCAATATAGCTCTACCATTAAGCAGACTGAGGTGGTTGCCTTGGGTAGCAAGGTGACGAAGTGGCTGTCCCGTATGCTGGAGAATAGAGCTACATGTTCTGTGAAATCCAACCTGCACCCCTTAAATATAATGGTGGACACAGTGGCTATGAGCACTGTCCCACAGCCGGTGTTGAAGCTGCATTCAACTGCTTGTCCAGAGCTGAATCCTACTGTGCTACCAAGCGTTCATGTGTGGAACTGGAGGTATGCCTTGTTGACATTTATCTTGGCATATATACCCATGAAATTGCTGGGCAGTTCTTTTCAGTTCTGAAACATTTGACAGTTCTGTTGCCTCCTCCCATTATAATACATAAAGATCCTTTTGAAAGGGCATCCAAACTTTGGTCATTTCCTATTCTTACATTTCTGAGCCTGTTGCAGCAACCACCTGGCATTGATTGTCGAGGTAAGTACGTGTAATTAATCACTGTTACTGTTACTGTTGCTGTTACTGCCACCAATATCATTTGCATTTCTTATTTGCATTTCTAAACTATCATACAATAAGATTTTCAGGGTGACTTGCAGTGGAAAATTAGAGCTAGAAAAACTGTGTTTTAGATTATATGGCATTCTAGAAGCTGCAGTCCAAAGTGTAACTGTCCCAAGCTCTGTGAAGAATGCAACCAAATAAATATACAATACCAGTAAAACCCAGAGTCCTACTGAGTCTCCCCAGCATAATAACATGAGATCAAGATCTTTGCAGAAAGGCTTCCATTGTGCAAGTATAGAGCAGATTTTTTCAAGAAAAATCTATGTCTGCATTATCCTTCACTAGCACAGTTGTGGGAATTTCCACTCAGCAGAACCTCGGCAGAATATTTCCCAAATAGCAAAGTTCCAATGCAGAGCAAATAGCTACATTGTTCTTTGTTGTGAGTGTTCAGATATGACATAGAACTTTTTGGAAAAGCAATTCCCACAACACTGCAACAGAGTAAAAATGGTTATTCAGCCAGAAGGCTGTGAGAAATGCAGCAATTTTCTTCCAGGTGGCATATTCCCAAAAACTGACTGATAAGAATGTATTTACACTGTACAATGTCAGTCCAAATCAGGTCCATGAAATATGTGATTCCTTGTATGGGAAGAAGCTTCTCTTGCAATGGGTCCCTATGCAGGAAAGCTCTTCCATGGTGAAAATGTGCTCTGATAAGATTCCTATGAGAGTCCAGCTGATGTATGATGAAGAATACAAATGTTGACTCCTTAACTGGTGCCAATTCCAGCAGCATACCTGAGTAATAGGATTTTGTCCAACGAAGTTCTTAGGGGAGCATTGTAATGGTTGACTGGGCAAAAGGCAAAATAATGAGATCAAGCCACCACTACCTGGATATTTTAATTTCAAACTCTTGCTGCCATTAATTAACCTTAGGGATGATATTCTGAGATTTTGGATTGGGAGAAAACCAGTTCTAAAGCTGATAAACCACCAAACCAGTGGTACAGTATCATGGAGAAGATGCTCTCATCGCCATCTGGGGAAGTCCAAAGGATCAGATTCAGCAGCACCAGACCCTGAGATTCCCTAACATCTCCTCTGCTCCTACATTCTCAAGCCTGTACTCAAAAGAGCTGTTCTCTTTCCTGTTTTGGGCCTTAAGAAGAATGATGGTACTTGTTGCCTCTCTCCCCCCACCCCTCTCTCATTCTTTCCAGGCATCCCAAGAAAACAATCCATTTAGATATTCTCAAACTACAGTGGAAATTGAGGTTGTGCGTAGAAATTATCATAAACCCTACTTCAACACTAGTTACTCGGGGACAATATCTGTGCAGTCACCTGTTTCCAGTATAGTCATGGAAGCTGGCAATCCTTCAGTACCCATCATGATCTTTGCAGTTGATGAAGACTTCCCACCTCATGTAAGCAACACAAAGATGCAGTCAGTTTCACAAAAGTAGCTGATACGAATAACACCATGAACAATGTCACAAGGGGTTATCAAGTGACGTTGATGTGGGTATGGAGACTCTTACTTGGGGATGGAGGGTTGGATTGGAAGTTATGTACTTTAGATTCTTTTCAGAGCTTGGAAAATATTTTTTTTGGGGGGGAAATACAGCTCCCAGTCACCACCCCCAGCCTCAGCCAGCATGGCCAGGTTCTTCAGCCTCTGCTTTCTGTGACTTTTCGAAATTCTGCTTTCAGTGATATGATTTATTTTCTGTGTGTATGTGTGTTACGATAAGAGCACTCATCTGATTTTGATATGGTTAAAGAAATCTCTTGCATGGACAAGAGAAATCTTGAAAAATGTTTTGTGAAAAGTACATTATACATAATTGGGATGTGGTGGCGCTGTGGGCTAAACCGCAGAAGCCTGTGCTGCAAGGTCAGAAGACCAGCAGTTGTAAGATTGAATCCACGCGACGGAATGAGCTCCTGTTGCTCTGTCCCAGCTTCTCGCCAACCTAGCAGTTCGAAAGTATGTAAATGTGAGTAGATAAACAGGTACCACCTTGGTGGGAAGGTAAAAAGATGCTCCCTAGTCACACTGGCCACGTGACAACGGAAACTGTCTTCAGACAAGCGCTGGCTCTACGGCTAGAGTCGGACACGACTGGACTAAAAATGTCAAGGGGAACCTTTACCTTTACACTATACATAACACACAAACACATGCAGCTATGATTTTAAAAGACATTTTCTTTCATAAGTGTTTCTGTAAAATGTCTTTAAATGTTCAGTTTAGAAACTTGTCTAAAAAAACACAGATAAATGATTTTCAGAGAGGCAGCCATGGTAGGTTTGTTTCAACAAAAGCAAAAGCACACGGGGAAGCAAACAGAGAGAGAAAGGCCTTCTGGTGCTTTCAGTACAAATCTCCCAGGACATCTGAAGAACTGGATTGTAATCTGAAAGCTCACATTGAAATAAATCTGTTCCTCTGAGAGGTGCCACAATACTTTTTCTTTGGTCTACTTTTGGGGAGCGCGGAGGTCCCCAATGGAATGGGGTAATTCAGGATTTCTGGGTGAAGGCGAATATATGAATTTAATTGTATTCTACTCCTAAACAGTGCTGAACGGCACACCAGAATAAGGATTGGAAAGAATTAGAGAGGCGCATATCCTATTACACAGTTACATTATTGGAGGACATAATAGGGGCAGGCTGACACAAGTGGATCTATTGTTAAGAGACAGCTTGAAAGCATTTACAATAATTGACACAATGAGTACAACTAGTTACGACCATACCTTGGACATTGGAACCTGGGGCATTGTACGTACAGAGGATGGATTGGGCAGCAGTAGAGCTTTCCTACTGAAGTTTGTACACAGGTTAATGTCTAAAGTAGATCTTTATTCATTATTTTCAGGGGTTCAATCCTGACATCCAATACAAAATACAAAACAGCTCTGCTTTCAGAGTCACCTCAGATGGATTTCTCCTGACCACTGAAGTTCTGAAGGTAGCTTCCACTGTCATGCTTTGGGTAGGTCATCTTTCCTAAAATTATGGTTGACATCCTGGTTTTATTTTGTGGTATTTATTGGTTAGGTGTATTGGTTTCCTCCAGTAAGCTCAAGGCTCCCTTCTTCCCCATTTTATTATTCCAGTAACTATACAGACTAGAATACATGGGTTTGACTGACCTACGTTCAACCAGTGAGCTTCATGACTCAGGGAAGATTTGAAAAAGTAGACGATGGCCAAACGGCTTATGGATAATTTAAATTGGAGAAAATAATGTGCAAACAACATGATAACATTTAACATTCTGATCAGGATCATAACCAACTTAGAATGTAAGCGGCTGTTCATACACAGTATATGTGTATTCTAGATTCTAGTGGAGAAAAATTTCTGAAAGCTGGCACTAACTTATCATCATTTGATAACGGACTCCTGACTGAAACTAAACTTTGCTCTATAATGTCTGTATAACAGCACGGCAACCCATGTGTATATGTTTTAAACATTGCTTGAATGTCCTATTTTTTTAAAAAAAGGACAATAGCTCCCAGAATTCCCTGCCAGCACATCCATGCTGTTTGAAACATTCCGGGACTCCCAAACGTTCTGAGTCCCCAAAAATAACATTTCCATACTCTAGTAACAAGTGGTTGCACCCAATTAACTCTTCCTATTACCAGAATGACGCACGACCAGCAGAACAGAAACATTCCCTCCTGTGTACCCCCACACCCTTAAGTTGAGTTCATTTGGTGACAGACTGGGGTAGATTTAGAGGAACGTTCTCCTTTTTAAAGAGAAAGGCACAGTAAACTGTTTTAAATAAGCAAATAAATAAACATAAGCAGTAAGGAGGGGAAGGTCCCATTGTGGAAGCAGACATCTGTTTGCAAGGTGTATTATTGTCCACTAACTTTGCAAATTTTAATACTTAGTCTCTGGCATCCTACAGTGCAGGTGTGATATATTGGCCATACACATAGCTATTTAGTATGTGATGTTTTACTCTCCTATTTTTTTTAAAAAAATGTTGACAACTCCTAAATTATTTACTACAGATTATCCATGATGGCCATAATTCCATATATTTGAATAAAGTTGTAATAGCATTAGGGGCTTTGAAATTATTGGTTGGTTATTTTATTGACTCTTCCCCTCCCGATGTATTGCCATTGGCAAGTTCTGTTCCAGAAAATCAGGAGATACAACGTAATTGTGGTGTTTCTTTTACCAGCTGTTACTGCTTTTTCCAATTACTTGTATCATCATGTTTTCAGTAAGCACTGGAGTTACTCAGTTTAGCTATTAATGTATGTTTTGAGGAAGATAATTCTTTCTCAGCAAAATTATCAGAAGCACCTTTACTTCTGGTTATACTAGTTTAGTTGGGTTATAATCCTGCTTGCTGGCTACCTCTTGGTGGAGTGAGTCATGCAATGGATATGAACGTTGTATAGGAGTCTTCATAGGCAGACATCAGCTGTATGTTCTGAAAATTTGTATAGATCATCAGTATGTTCAATTGGCTGCAGTGTAAACAGGCCTGAACTGGGCAGTGCCAGTCCCATGCAAATCTAAAGCCCAACACACATGAACATGGGATGATTACATGTACCACTAAGTGAATACGTCAACACTAATTTGTTACACTCTTAAAAGAGTCAATTCAACACACATGTAAACAGTTAAATTTCCTTTCATATCTGCACAGGCTATTGCTGAAGATAAAGTGACTCTGGAAGAGGCAAGCACAGTGATCATGGTTGATGTCACACCTTTGGCAGGTATGTTGGGAATATTTTTGTAATTTTATGCTGGGCAGATAACAAATGAAGGACAATATTTTGTACTGTATGGCAGGGAGGAAAGTGGCTTTGTCTCATTCTCAACTAGTAAAGATCAGTAGGAAGCTTGACGATTCCCTATCTGTCTTTCCAAAATATTTTCTTCATTACAAACCAAGTTCCCCCTTTTCCCAACAACAAAAAAAGGGAAGAGCCTAAGATTTTGACAAAGGGTCTGTTGTCACTGAAAAATGGCATGTGCCAGCCTTTGCCTTCATCTACATTTGCAAGCAAGAAGCCCTCTGTAGATTGGGGGCAGTTACAATTTTTTCCTATTTTTGTAATGGCTACAAATTGTCCAACCTGGATGTCCCTCCTATACAGTAAATGTTTTGGCTTTTAAATGCAAAAGCATGACAGATTAACGTGACTACTACTAACACCTGATGTGTTTTCAGCTGCTACCACTCCAGCTACCACAACATCAACCACCACCACTGCCACCATCACCTCCTCCATCTCCTCCACTACTGCCTTCTCTGCCAACAAAGGGACAGGGACAACTACTTCAAGGCCTTCAAGTTCATCCTCCAGTTTACCACCTGGGATAAACAGTACGCTGCCTATAGCTTCTTCTGGGTCTACAAAGTCCACAACACCTCTTACAGTTACAACCAAAACTGCAGACATTATGGGAACTACAGGGAAGCCTTTGACAGTTACATCTGGCTCAGTTATCTCTCCATTTATAACTACTATGAAACTTCCCATCATCACAGTTAACACATCACAACCTCAGACAACCACTTCTCCCATAACAGGTATAAGCCAACTACCACCAGTTGTGAAGCCAACCACTGGGACTATTAAGTCTACTGCTCAGCCTTCTCAATCTGGAACCACCAACTCTTCTTCAACAATTGTATCTGGGACAGCAAGTGGAACTGCTCATTCTACTTCACTGTCTTCTTCTGAAACTCGAACCACCAAATCTCCCATACCAACTACAAGTCGTAATACGAAGTCTACTGCTCAGACATTTCAGTCTGGAACCACTAGGCCTTCCACAACAGGTTTATCTACGACACCCAGTAGAACTGTCTCCTTTACTTCACTGTCTTCTTCTGAAACTCGAACCACCAAATCTCCCATACCAACTACAAGTCGTAATACGAAGTCTACTGCTCAGACATTTCAGTCTGGAACCACTAGGCCTTCCACAACAGGTTTATCTACGACACCCAGTAGAACTGTCTCCTTTACTTCACTGTCTTCTGCAATTCAAACCACGAAATCTCCCACACCCGACACCCAGTAGAACTGTCTCCTTTACTTCGCTGTCTTCTTCTGAAATTCAAACCACGAAATCTCCCACACCAGATGAAAATCCAACTACAAGTCATAAAACACAGCCTACTGTTGGGACAAATCAGAATGAGACATCTTCCATAACAGGTATATCTATGATATATCAAGTAGGACTGCCTATTCTGCTTCCCTGACTTCTTCCCAAAAGCATTATCAACATCACTCATGATTCTGACCAGATTCTGAGCTGATGGACAGAATCATGTTGGTGAATTAAACCAGTATAAGTGCAGTGGCATGAACTGCAGGGGCAAATTGCTGCTTGTTAACAAGTTGCTGTTTCTGTCCCTCAGTGTGCAAGCTGGTGCATGACAAGGGATACAAGTACCAACTTGTTAACCAAAGGCCATTTGCTCCTGTAATTAATGCCCTACACTTAACTCCGACTTAGTCAATCAATGGAATTCTGGCTTTCCTTCCTTCCTTCCTTCCTTCCTTCCTTCCTTCCTTCCTTCCTTCCTATTTTTATTTATTTATTTATTTATTTATTT